GAATGAATTGGGCCTGAGGCCGTTCGATATGAATCAATTGGGCCCGAGGCCGTTTGATATGATGGGCATGAGGCCGTTTAATATGTTTGGGCTTGAGGGCGTTTGATGTATTTAATAAGAATATGAATGGGCCAAAGACCGTTTGATGTGTTTGACTAGGATATTACCTATTAGAGAATTTCATTCATGTAACCTCTTTACTTTGGTATTATTCACTAGGCTTTCACTCACTCTTATTTATATGTATGTAAGTGACCAAATAGATGTCCAACCCCAGCCTTAGTGAAGAATGTGAGAGAATTCCAAGTTTTTGTGAAGTCAGCCCGAACGTCTTACGCATAAGACTTTGTTTTCGTTCTTTTGTTTTACCCCTTTTGCTACCTTGGTGAATACGTTGGATCACCTATGTATATAAACTTTTTGTTTGGCTGACTACATGTCTAAAAGTTTCTGTATGTACAATATGCTACAAGATGTAAACTTTGTTCATATGTGTGAGTTATTATGGAATGCTTATGAACTGATTTTACTTTGCCATGTAAGCACAGCTCTTTGGAAAAAATTTTAAGTTTGCTTCCGTTTGGCCCCCCTTTATTTCTATTGAGACATGTTAATCTCATTTGAGGATGTAGATAATCTTATGACTACTGGCCGGTTATGACCTTAATTCATAAGGGCAGGTTCGGGTGATGACACAACAAGTCTGGGATAAAGAGAGACAAACCTTCCTATACCCGTTTTGGCCAAAGATTTTTCTAGACATTCAAAACCTAAACCAAACCAAGCCTTAAATCCCATCAAATGGGGTCGGCTATGTGAATCCTCTATCACAAGTCATTTCGTTAGTCAAATTAAGTAGATACATATCTCTAGTTACAACACTAGCCAACATTAATCTAGGCCTACCCCATCCCCTAACATTCTCATCTACTGTTGCATCATCGCATCTCTTCACTACTATCTCGGTTGGTCTCCGTTGAATATGACCAAACCATCTCAATCGATTCTCTCTCAACTTATCTTCTATCGGTGCTACTCCTACCTATTCTCGAACACACTCATTCCTAATTCTGCCTTGTCTAGTCTTGCCACACATCCACCTTAGCATTCTCATCTCAGTCACACTCATCTTATCTACATGTTATTTCTTGGTTGCCCAACACTCTGTCCCATACAACATCGCTAGTCTAATAGTTGTTCTATAGAACTTACCGTTTAGTCGAGTGGGTATTCGTTTATCGCACAGTACCCCAGATGCACTTCTCCACTTACACCATTGTGCCTTAAACCTATGGGCCACATCCGCATCAATCTCTCCCCTGTTGTGATAGGGGAAACCTTCTGAGAAAATTAGTTGAACAACACTTGATCGACCAAACAACTTTGAAGCACAACGAAAGACAACTTTGGTTAGGACGAGCACATCCGGACAAGTTCTGTCTGAGCAAGCAAACTCGGATTGTTTTTGTCCAGCCAAATAGATTTTGGAGGAAATACAATGGACAGTTTATGGTCAGCTAGAAAAATGTTATCTGTGAAAGCTTTTTGACGTCAGCTAGACAGGTTTCTTATGAGGTGTCCCCTAACGTCTTGGAATATGCCATCCTGATCCTAAGGAATCAAATGGTATACTGCATGCCCTCTAAGCCTATTTAAACCCCTCTGGAGAATTAAGGGTTCTTAGTTCTGATTTTTGAGTTAAAAACATTCACAATTCCATGCTACAATTTAATTAGTTAATTAGGTCATATAATTAAGCAAATTAACCGATTTGAATGAGAGTTACTGAGATTTGGACATTGAGATTCATACATATTCTCTACACCTGGACTATCTTCTGCATCCCTTTGCTTGGAGACTTGGAGCTAGAGATCTCTACGGGCCAGAAGGAGTTTGGATTAGAGTTTGTGACTAGCTTAGGCCTTATCTCTACTAGTTTAGAGGTAATCCCTACTTCCATTCTTGAGCTTATCGCATCTTCTATCTCTTTTTATTTATTATTTAAGTTTTCTTGAGATCTTGAGATCATTATTGTTGAGCTATTGGTAACTTAGTTGGATTCTCTCATCTTTTCCCCTTTCTATAGCTAGTAGAGGCCTATATAGTGACTTCGACAAGTCTGAATTGCTTTTCTTGTTGTCGTCAGTAACTTAGTTGGATTCTCTCTTCTTTATCCCTTTCTATATTTAGTGGAGGCTTGTATAGTGACTTTGGCCAAGTCTGAATTCCTTTTTCCTGATTTATTATGGGTTAGAAACCCAAGCACGATTTCCTCTATGAAAAGGGACCAGATCTCCTTTCCTGAACCTCTTTAACATGGATTTGAGTAGTTTATACACATTTTAATGAGGAGGATGAGGAGAACCTCTCTCTTCTTACTAGAATCTTCTATTTTTTGTTATTTTGGTTGATTTTTATTGATACAGAAGCCCAAGCAGGGCTTCCTCCATGTGAATAAATTAAATTCCCCCTCTTGTTACTATTTCATGAATTAGTTAGTTTATATCCCTTTTCATGAGTAAGAAGAGAGTGAGAATCTCTCTATTCTCGTTGGAGCCTTCTTTCTTTTACTGTTTATGGATTACCATTGATGATGTAGAAATCCAAGCACGATTTTCTATACAAGGATAGGATAGACTTATCCTCTTGAAACATTCTATCATGGATTCGGATAGTCTATATTCGTTACCAGACGTATGAGGGTTAGGACCTCTTTATCCTCACTAGAGTATTTATTTTAAGATATGATAGTTATTATGCTTGTTATATGTGTTAGGATGGGTTTCTCTTCTCTCTGCCCTTACTCTCTTCCTCTTTTTAAAATTTATCTTTGTTACTTTAATTATCTTATTTTGTTATCACGACATTCACATGTTTAGAGTAGAATCATGCATCTGAGCTCAGACCACTATACCTTGATAGTTATATGGTGTGTATTTCTTGATGGTTCATATGCAATCTTGATAGTGTCCGGGCTTACAGGACTTATTCGTGCGAATTTTGCATTTTATAGATTATTACATCTTGGAGCATGCATATTTCTAATTAGTTGTCTTTTGTTGCACTTGGCTGGAGTACCCGGTGAGTTTCTTTTCCGTTTTACTTTTCATATCATTTAGTCTAACATCTAAGATCATGCATTTACGCTCATGGCAAAGTGCAGAGGAGTACTCGGTGAGCCTTTCTTCTTTCTCTTACATCTTGTGTGTGATTGCTTCTTATTATGTCTAATATGCTACCATGAGGCTATGTGCTTACGTGTTATATCTCTGTGATTGCTTATTGCATAGAGGTTTCATTGCCTAAGTTGGAATGATTTCGATCTCTTTGTGCATTAGTCATCTCACGTTTTCCTTGAGATTTCTACTTTCAAACCTTTTTCAAATGGCAAGAGATTAGAATGTTCCAAAGTAGGTGATATGGTCTATACTTGTTTGCTCTACATAGTAAAGATAGAGTTAATAATTGAGTTACATGATCATATTGTGTTAATAATTCTCATATCAAGGACTAAAAGAGACCAATCTTTGATCGGGTGAACGGACATACTCAATTCATGACCTTCCCCCCTTATACCTAAACTCCTGAATCGAGACACTTTGTCTGTGATGAATAGTGGCCTTTGGTATGAGTTAGGTTTTTTTGTTTTTCCAAAAGTTTAGGTGGTGACTCCGAGTCTGGTGATGCAGTCCATATTTGGTATTTTCTTGTGACTAGTGGATTTTCTATAGATTTGCCAGATTTGGACTCTTATTTGTTTCACATTACACACCAGTGAACCAGGCGGGGGTTTGAACTGTCGAGCGCGCTCGGATACCCTTTGAGGACATCCCACAGTTGCCTGCCGCAATTTCATCAATCAACCTACTATTACAAATCCATTACAAAACTTCAAACAACATAATCCTTATAAGTTAAACCATTCAAACCGAGTTGCTAGAACATAATTTAACTAGATTTGGTCTTTCTTCTTTGGTGGTTTAAAACTAGGCATAAATATGGGGTTTGGAAAGATCTATAGTAAGGGAAAGAATGTATGGTGATTCGCAGTGAGAGAAGAGAAGATAGGGGCCATGGTGGAGAAAGGATGGTTCTGTCTATAGATGATGGAAGTAAGATAAAAAGAATACTAGAGGATGAAGAAGAAGGTAATAGTGGTTGGCAGAAGGAAATGTGATCGATAACTATCTCTCCACCGGACGAGAGAGAAAAAAATAGAGGCCATTACGCACAGAGGAGAAGAAGATGGCCTTGACTAGCGACGACAGAAGGTGTAGCAATGAGTAATGGTAAGGGTGGCAGTGCTTCTCCTTGCAAGTAGCAATAGTGGTATTTCTCCCGTGAATTGCAACCTCTATAAGTTAATTTGCTATGAAAATAAAGGGCAAGTGGGTGTTTGGTTATATAGATAATAAAAGATTAGTAGGAACTAGGTGTGGATGAGTTTTGCAATAAAATGAGGTGCCATGATTTAATTCACTACAACAAATGACACTTTTGGTGACCAATTGTAATGACCCCAAAATGCGTATAAGAAATCATCTTTATTTCCCTATGAACTGATGTGGTTTAATTTAATTATATCTATTAGAAGTGAAGCATTATCAGTTGAGTTACGGACTTAAAATGGGAATTACCGACCTTTATGGGTTCAAAAATCAAAATTGAGTACTTGGATATGTTAATGGGAATTTTTGGAATTATTTGGGAAAATTAATTTGAAATTTAATTTGTCTAATTCGTTAATGGACGTTTGGGTGATTAACTTTATACTGCAAATTAAAGGCCTTAAAGACTTCAGATACCGGAACAGGGGACATATTTATGATCAGCATAATTTTTAGAGTTATCTGGGAAGTTTAATTGAAATGTGATTTTGTGCGATTCGTAAGGGCGTGTTTGGCCCTTCCTATTTGTGGGAAGCTTTATATATGCATATATGCCTTATGAGTTGTTAAACTCATCTATTTGGAACCAAACAAAAAAATAAAAATATCTAGTGAAAGGGGAAGGAGAACCGAGAGAGAGAGAGAGGGAGAGAGAGAAGAGGCAAAGCTTCTCCTTAAGGAATTCAACATCCATGGAAGCTTGAAGATGGTTGAAGAAGATAGAAGAGAGAGGAAAGATCAACCAAAAGCTTGGGAAAAATTGAAGAGTCTAAGGGATGAACAAAGGTTTGGGTAAGGTATGTGGCTCTAATTACTAACCTTGTATAGAATCCATCTACTACTTGAAATCATGGATTGATATAGAAGATGTGAGCTTTGAACCCATGAACCTTGATTTTCTAAGAATTCCTTGATTGAAGAAGTAAAATCATTAAATTTGTTTATTGTGAGATTATGGTGTTTGATGAAGAATAATAATGGGAAATTGGTCATGTATTAAAGGGTTTTGGGCTTTGATTTACATGTAATTAAGGTTTGATTTTTGGAAATGAGAAGTCCCACAATTTCAGCCATTTTCGGACTGCTGCTGTCCAGGGCCGCACGTGTGGCACTGTTCACCCGCACGTGCGGGGACAGCTCTGTCCAGCCAACTTTGAATAGGTATATCTTTTGCATCCGGACTCCGTTTTGAGCGATTCTTGAGCCTAAAATCAAGCCCCGGAAGTCTAGTTTCCAATGGCGCTAGTCTCACTCCCAAATTCTAAATACAGAAAAAGTTATACCCAAATTAGTGACGACTGTTCACGTTATGTCAATTAGTTATGTATCATTTCTTCACCTAAACCAATTCCTATCGATTTCTCCTATTTTGTAAGACATGGATTACAACATATTAAAGAATAATGAGCTTGGTACCACCATGACTAATTGATTGAACGATCAAAGAGAATAAGTAAAGGATCGAGTATAACCTCATATTATGTGTTATACACTGTAATTGTAGGTCGAGACGAGGACATTGTACCATTACCACCGGGAACCGATCGCTGTGAGTAGTAGTACAAAAATGTACATTTTTTTCTACCATTGACAATTATTGTCACTAATGCTCTGTTCTTTGTAAGTATTATACGAACATTTATGACAATTGGAAAGCAATGTGAACTTATATGAACGCTGAAAGATTCGCGTACGTCGGTATGATTTCGGAATCCTTATGTTCTGTTAATGACGAATATTAGCCCTTTGTTATTTATTAGCATACTATGTTATTTCTTAAAGAATAAGTGGAACTTATGTTCATCCTTGAAGAATGATATTTGTGTGAATCTAAGATTATGTTACGAAGGGACCCAAGAACGTTTAGAATCTATGATATGAAAGTAAAGGTTTACCATCAGTATGCAACCCACATAAGAATATGAATTATTCTATTTTGTTAAGTGCATGATAATGACATGATATAACAAGAAATGTTCTGGTTTCTATTAACTTAATGATTATTCATATATGTAGAAGCATTCACATCATCTTTAGCACAAGGCCCCTACCCAGGGGTAATAGGTAACCAACCAAGTGGTCAGTCCTAGTCATGACACCTGTTTTCTTCTGTCAACCTTCGTTGGTTCAGGCACTGCACGAAGCCATTTATTTTTGTAAAGTCTATTGAAATGTTGGCTTAATTTTGATTACCCATTTAAAGTTAAAGAGGTAGAACTTCAATTATTTTTATATAAGCCCAATGATGGGGCTGGGTCTGTACATATGGTTGTTTATCATCGATGCTATAACATATGGTTTGGAGCTTTATCTATTTTCCATGATGAATGTGATGTATAAGAGGTCCTGGCATGTAGATGTAGCTCAATGGAATTTATATGTATAGTTATTTTCCTACTTTATGCTTCCGATGAGGCCCCATATGTTATTTACTACAGGTTAAGTGTTCGTTTTCAAACGGGTCATGCCCAAACTTTTAGGGGCGGGTTTGGGGCGTGACACCAATTTTTTTGTCGTCAAAAGTCACTTTTTAGTTACTATAACATTTTAGAGACTAAAATTTTTGGTCGCCAGATTAGTCGTTGAATAATTGTCAGGAAAGGTGATTGGTGACTAAAAAAATCTTTCAAATAAAATTAATATTGTATTTTTAGTGACTACAACTTTTTTGTCACCAAAAACATCAACGATTTACGACGACTAAAGCTTTAGTCGCCAAATTTGTTTTTGTTCATATTATTTTTTTAGCTACTAAATGTTTTAGTCTCCTAAAGTCTACTCTTTTCTTTTTTTTCTTTTTTTTTTTGGCTACTTAAGTTTTAATCGCCAAAAATATATTTTCATTTTATGTTTTTTTAGCTGCTAAAGTCTTAGTTGCCTAAAGTTTGCTTCTTTTTATTAAATTTTTTTTATGGCTGCTAAATATTTAGTCTCCAAATTTTGTTTCATTTTATTTTTTTTAGCTACTAACTATTTAGTCGCTAAAAATATTTACTTCATTTTTTGTTACCAATTGTTTTGTCGCCAAAAATATGATTTTATGTTTTTTTATTATTATTAATTTGTCCACAACCTGTATGTATTTCATGCAACCTATAATATGTATAAACAAAACAATACATATATTATGAAACATTTCACAATCTGCAACAATTTTACTTCCAACCATCCAAAAAGGAATGACTTTTAACGTCGAATTCCATACAAACCAAGTATATTTCAACCTAAAATAATAATTCCATACAAAACAAAGAGTCATATGAAAATCATGTCTTTCGTGCACAAAAAATATATTCACTACCATGCCAAATGGCCATTTGGCGTGGTACAAAGTGCCATGGTAATCTGTACCATAACAAAAGGTAATCTATATACCACGCCAATAATTTTCCATTTGATGCCAAAAGTTATCTGTACGATTAATACTAATCCACACAAAAGCAGATGATATCAAAATAACGGGAATACAAAAGTGTAAATTGTCCTCCATACACAAAAATGGAATATCCACAAGTCTATGCCAAAGGCCATCTACAAAAAAGAAAAATTAAAATTAAAAAAATTGCACCAATTAGTACCAGAAATGCATATAGAACTTGATAACCCGAGGCAAAAAGATCAGAGGTTATGGTGAGTGAATTAAATTGTTCATCATCTTCAGTGCTTTTTCCATTATACTCTTAGATATAGTTGAAGTGTTGACTAAACAGATGACATTTTGTATGCCTTTCTATTTATTTATTTATTTATTTAAATAGTAGATGTATGGAAACAAGTAACAGCATTTATTGCCATAGAAAATATCAGTAGATTCAGTACAATAGTCTCAAGCAACATAAAGTTCCAAATGCATGTGACTAACAGTAATCACTCGTAGCATTTAAGATTAAGAGCAATGATAAAATATGTTTGAAAACTCATAAATTAATAGTACATGTGGCAAACAAGACAGTAACCAATGTTTTATTTACACCCAAATAGCCTTAAATGCACTTTGTTTCAACCAAAAGGCACAGCACTGCACACCTCTAATTGGATATTTAGGGAATATTACAAATCATCTCCATCCATTTCTAGCAAATTAGGACATCTTGCCCACTGGTAAATACCTTTTTAAATTAAATCTTATGGCAACTATACATTTTCATTTTCTCATTCACTCATTTCTCTTCTGCTGTAACTGCTAAGCATTTCCCCCATTAGCACATATCTCTTTCATGGTTTCCCAAACAAACTATTGTCATCCCAAGAAAAAATTCCCTATGCATGGTTATCATATTTTATAAACAAATCTTCTCAAGTTTGAAGCTGCATGTGACGTCCCTAGAGTGGTTGAGGGTTGTTTTGCATTTTCACCACCCCCCCTCCCCTCGAACGCCCTTTTCCGACTTAGTTTATGGCGTTTTCAACTTTAACTCTCAACGTACGTGCGCTAATTACATGTCGTCTGTCCCCACAGGTCGAATTTGTGATGAGAAAGCTGCCCATGACATCCATAGTGGTTTGGGGACTGTTTTTCATTTTTGCCCATTGATTGCCCTTTTTCGACTTTTTAGGCATTTTTTTCTCTAACTCCCAACCTACATGTGTTAACTACATGTCGTCTGTCTTCACAGGTCCTATTTATCATGAGGAAGTTGCCCGTGACATCCATAGAGTGGGTCTGGAGCTATTTTGCATTTTCACCTCCTAAACTCCCTTTTTTGACTAAATTTAAGATGTTTTCGACTCTAATTCCCAACTTACGTGTGATAATTACATGCTGTCTATCCCCACAGGTCCTATTTTTTTACGAGAAAACTGCTCGTGACATCCATAAAGTGGTTCAGGGATTGTTTTGCAATTTCGTCCCCCGAACGCCTTTTTTCGACTAAGTTTAAGGTGTTTTCGACTCTAACACACAACCTACGTTTTCTAATTACATATTGTCTATCCCTACAGGTCCTATTTTTCATGATGAAGTTGCTCGTGAAATCCATAGAGTGGTTCAGGGGCTGTTTTACATTTTTTGCCTCTCGTGATTGCCCTTTTTCAACTTTTTAGGCATTTTTTTCTCTAACTCCCAACCTACATGTGTTAACTACATGTCGTCTGTCTATTTATCATGAGGAAGTTGTCCGTGACATCCATAGAGTGGGTCTGGAGCTGTTTTGCATTTTCACCCCCTAAACTCCCTTTTTTGACTAAATTTAAGATGTTTTCGACTCTAATTCCCAACTTACGTGTGATAATTACATGCTGTCTATCCCCACAGGTCCTATTTTTTTACGAGAAAACTGCTCGTGACATCCATAAAGTGGTTCAGGGATTGTTTTGCAATTTCGTCCCCCGAACGCCTTTTTTCGACTAAGTTTAAGGTGTTTTCGACTCTAACACACAACCTACGTTTTCTAATTACATATTGTCTATCCCTACAGGTCCTATTTTTCATGATGAAGTTGCTCGTGAAATCCATAGAGTGGTTCAGGGGCTGTTTTACATTTTTTGCCTCTCGAACGTCCTTTTTCGACTATGTTTAAGGTGTTTTTGACTCTGACTCCCAACCCATGTGTCCTAATTACATATTGTCTATCCCCACAAGTCCTATTTGTCATGAGGAAGCTACTCGGGACATCCATAGAGTGGTTCGAGGGTTATGTTGCATTTTTGCCCACCGAATGCCTTTTTTCGACCAAGTTTAAGGTGTTTTCGACTCTAACTCTCAGCCTACGTGTGCTAATTACATTTTGTCTATCCCCACAAGTCCTATTTGTCATGAGAAAGTTTCCCGTGACATCCATAGTGTGGTTTGGGGGCTATTTTGCACTTTTGCCCCTTGGACGCCCTTTTTCACCTAAGTTTAAGGCGTTTCAACTCTAACTCCCAACCTACGCGTGCTAATTACATGCCATATGTCCCCATAGGTCCTATTTGTGATGAGAAAGCTACTCGTGACATTCATAGAGTGGTTCAGGGGCTATTTTGCAGTTTTGCCCCCTCGAATGCCTTTTTTTCAACTATATTTAAGGCGTTTTCAACTCTAACTGCTAACCTGCGTTTGCTAATTACATGTTGTCTATCCCCAAAGGTTCTATTTTTCATGAGAAATTTTTCTATGACATCTATAGAGTGGTTTGGCAATTGTGTTGTATTTTCGCCCCCCCGAACGCCCTTTTCGGCTAAGTTTAAGGCGTTTTCAATTGTAAATACTCAAATAAAGGGAGACTTACATCTGGACTCAAATGTTCAATTCAATGCCTATATTTGCTTCATTTGAAGTTTATCATTTATCAAACTTCCATTCTTATGATAAGATGGGAACTTTTAATCATTAAATATTCTCTCATCTTCTCTCATTTTCTTCTATAATTAATTAATTAGTTAATGAATTAATGTATTATCTATTTTCTCCTCATATTTTTATAATATCAAAAAAAAAATTCAGGTTCTTCAAAACAATAATGTCAATATCATCTTATATTTTTAGAACTTTTAGTATCATATGAATAAAATTCTATTTACCAGATAGTAGGAAGACCATTTGAACCCTGCAAAAGGATTGTGAGCCGTAAAACCACGTCATTTAGATGATTGAGTTGTACTTCTTGTGCCTCCCTTGCTTCTTCTTCTTTTTTTTTTCCTTCTTTGACTTGTTTCATCATGTCATCTCTCTCTCTCTCTCATCAGCTTTTCACGATCTCTCTGGCGCTCCTTTTTCTCCCTCATTGGCTCTTCACTATCTCTTTAGCGCTCTTCACAATGACTCTCTATCTCAACTCTCATTGCTTCCATATGTTTATCACGAGCTCGTGCCGCACTATCAAATGTCGAAGAGGGTTGTGGGCCTATCCCAATTCCGTGCAAGTATTTTTTTTTTTCTTTTGGTCTAAGAACTTACCTTGATAGTTCCACCTAGGTCAATGACATCCCCACATCGGTGGCTGCCACTTGTACATTCACTATCTCATCTTGTCATTACGAAAAAAAATAATAATAAATAAATAAATAAATGAAAAAATAAAATAATAATTAGACTAGTCAACAAAGCATAAATAATAACATGCAATTTTGTGCCAAGGTACTAACTAATATTGAATACAATTGGTTTCAATGTTCAATGCTTACATATAGCTCACCACATTCCGGATGAATCCAATCCTTAGTCTTTTTCGACTTGTGTGATTTCGCATAAAATTCTCAATAATCTAGCTCTCCATTCTCGTCTACCTATTAATTTCAAATAACAAACTTCATTGGACAAAGCATTATTCATAATTGATATACAAAAGTGATTTGTATATTTCAAAATGAACAAATTATCACCATAATCGATATTTCTATTGGAAATGATCGAGAGCCACTTGTATGATTATATGGTAGCATACTCCTGTTTGCTTTACCAGCTTTTGATTGTTTCTATAAAAAAAAC